CCAAGAACCTGCTTGTGGTATATCTCATGCCCAAGTTAGGGTGGCAGTTGGGCAGTGGATCTTGGAACAACACAGAAAGTACTGGGAGGAGACACTTGGTGGGACCTCCACAACCAGTACGTAAAAATGAACTGCTAGGTCTCAGCAGGCAAAAAATGAGGAGGATAGTGGCCTTTTTAACAGGACAGGCCCCTGCAAAAACACCTCTTCAGGATGGGACTGAGCGATCAACCGACCTGCAGGAGTTGCAAATTAGAGGACGAAACTACTCTGCATGTTATGTGTCACTGCACGTCATATGCAACAGGTAGACGAAGACTCCTGGGAGGGGATGAAATTCCACCAGACCAGATCATGCGAACTCCCCTCAAGATTCTTCTGTAATTCATTGAATATACAGGGATAATGAGGGAGTAAAATACCAGGGCCCAATAGGACAGAAGTGAACCTCGGCGGTGAGGAAAGGGTTTTAGTGGGTAAACAGTTTAGTTGGAGTCCCACACAACCCAGAGCGACAGACCACCAGCTCTGGGAGTGCATAAAAGAGCATTTTCCAAACCTCACCGAAAAAAAAAGGCTACACTTGGGTGGTAGTTTACCAGCAACTTACCTGCTGCTACAGTAACGGTCGTTTTGGCTTCATTTTCACTGCCTTGTCCAGCCACTGGATAGGCGACCACGTTGTAGGTGCCAGGACGGACGTTTTTCAGCGTGTATGACCCGCTAGAGTCCGACTCCGTAGTGAATGCGTAGCCCAGCTGCTGATCATCGTAAGATGTTTCTTCCGTATCGTACAGCATAATCGTAGCCAGGGGCTGGCCAGTGATGGTTCCTTTAACTGTGCCTCTGGACAGACGGTAAAATTCAAATAAGTCTGGCTTTTTGGAGCAGCAAGTTCTCTACCTGTCCACTGGATAGTCGTCATCATTCACAAAACTGTAAGGCCAACTGTCTTTCTCCGTCTCTGCTTGAGTTGCTACATCGCTGAGGATGGCGCTGTTGGTGCCAGTGTTGAAATAAAGCAGCCAAGGTCCATAGATGTGAGTCCATCCAGATGGGGCCGTCAATCCGGAGGTGCCAAAATGACTGCTCACAAAGTAGTTGGTGATCAAAGAGTCCTGGTGGATCAGCAAGTCCTGCTTGAGCGGGCCTCCGGCATGATATTCGCGACTAGGCGAGATCAGAAAAGCTCCGTAACCGCTTCCATAAACGCCCTGCAAAACGCAGGTTCACTCGCGCTTAAAATCATCCGGAAAACCCACTCACTTGGTAAGT